AAAAAAAAAATAAAAAATCTCCAAAATCTCTAGGTAGAGGACATAACAAAGAAAACCACTTCTAGGCACAATAAAGTCAGACTTCTGAAAAAGGAAAAAAGGGGGTGCTGGGTCTCTAGCCTGTGAAGGATCCAGCCCTCAGGAGAAAGGGGGAAAGCCAGGCTCAGCCTTTGGATTCCCAGGCAGCAAGGGGCACTGAAGGTCCTGGAGAGTCAGGAGGGCTGGGCCAGGCAAGGCCTCTGCTGGTCCTGACTATCCAGAGCCCACCTATGGGGTTCAAATGGGGTAAGAGACATGAACAGTGTGGAAAGTGCTTAAGTCGATGGTACCCAAAGGTGCCCCCAAGGAGGTGTCATCCTTTTATAAGCCAACAGGGACTTGGTGAGATAGGCAACAGTGAGTGAATCTGGTACCCCAACACCCAGACAAGTACCCCAACATCCAGACAGATGCCCCAATCCCCAGGCAGGTGCTTCAGATGTCCCAGAGGCGGGACTTCCTTAGACAACTCCTGATGCCCGCCCCCACATCCCCCCTTTAGGTGAGCCAGGGGGTGCATGCTGACTCTTGCCACTGAGCACCGGGCACGGCCGGAGGGCTCCACATGGCGCGTCTTACTGAATGAGGGAGTAGTACTGCTCTGTCAGGTCCTTCCACTCATCCTCCGTGAGGTCCTTGGTGGCGTCCTCAGAGACGTCGATGTCCTCGTGCTCCAGCTGCCCCAGGTAGGCCTGGCACACCTTGCACGCAGTGTCCACGAGCTGTCCCGAGAGGCCCGTGAGCTTGGATTTGGCATTCTCGGAAGCTGAAACCCAAGCACAGGATGCGGAATGGGGACCACCTGGGGCACTGCACAAAAACCACCCCAGCCCTCCGAGTGTTCTCTGGGCAGCCAACCTGGGCCCCAAGCACGCCTCCCCCCGCCGCACACACCCTCCAACCAGACTCAGCCCCACCAGCGACCAGGCAGTACCACTTCCAAACTTGCTACAAAACCTGTACTTTTCTGAGCACACACTGGGTACTCAGTAAGTACTTGGGGGGCAATCCTGCCTGATGCCCACAAGCCCATGCGCGCTTGGTAGCTGCCTGCGTCCGACCTCTTACGCAGCATCTCATGCTCCTGGGACCCGTGGGTCTCAGGAAGCACTGAGCGCAGGGAGTCCTCCCATCCAGGTAAGAGCGAACCTCCAGGAACCCAGCTCCCACACAAGGCAACCCAGCCCCCTGGTCCCCGAAGGAGAAGGAGCTGACAATCAGTAACTGGATGGGTGGTTACGGGGTAGGAGCCTGGAGGGACGAGGAGGCTTGGAAGGTGTACAAAACCAGCTCCACAAACTTGGGGGGGCGGGGGCTGAGGCATCGCAGACCCAGGACCCCAGCGGTTCTGGACCCAGGAGAAAGTGCTGCAGTTCACCTAGTTGCCATAGAGATTATAATATGTGTTTTTAAACTGTATGGAGGTGAATTTTTTCACAGAACATAAAAATAGCTGTTTGTGAAAATTTGCACTTCTGTTTTCTGGTCAGGCATAGAAGGATCCTGGAAGTTGCCAATCCATCCTAACAAGTAAAAAGTAAAACTGAAAAATCAACAACTCTTCTTTGCTCCATCAGAGAACTGAGGTCACAAGACAAACTGCTGCCCCCCAATCTCAGAGACAGTCAGGCTGATACAGAGAATCACAACTCACTGGATCAAAAACCCTAAGCAGAAACCTCCCCAGACACCAACACCAGGAGAGAAAAACCCGAGCTCTAACTGATGAACTGCTGAAGGCTCAGTGTGGACAAATCTGAGTCAAAAACCCCAGGAGGGTCAGTTTTCTGGGGGGAGGCTTTTGTCATTCTTACCTCCAGGAACTTGACCTGGTTCTCACCATGAATATGGGAGAAAATGCCCCCCTGCTCCCGCCAAGAAAGGAAAGTGACCATCCCGAAAGTTGCCAGACCATTCTGTTCTTAACAAGGCCTGTCCTCAGGAGCAAGTGTTACCCAGAGCCTGACCTGCTCCAGCCCCTCCAGCCATCCTGTCCCACCAAAGGGGGTAAAGACAGAGAAGTACTAGTGAAGTTCCCAGTCCAGGGACACAGGCTTACAAAAGACTGAGCCCTCATCACAGGACTACAGAACACGGCATCAGATCAAAAAAAAAAAGGAGGGGGGATTTTTTTGCCAGTAGACCTGCTAAGAAATGTTAAGTTTTCCAGAGAGAAGGAAAATAATATAGGCCAGAGCCACATAAAGAAAGGAAGAGCATTAGAGAAGGAATGAATGAAGGCAAAATAAAAACTTTTCTTATTTATTTTTCTTATTCTTATTTTTCATAAAAATATTTTTGTTATTCTCAGTTGATCTGACTGAACAATAATAATTACTATAAAAATAATGACATCAGCCATGTATTCAATGCTTATAGCTTATGGAGAAGTGAAATGAACGGCAGCAATGACACAAGGCCCAGGAGGGAGGAACTAGGAACATTTTGTTATAAAATTCTTGTGCTATGGTGAGGTGGTACAGTGTTACTTGAAAAACGGAGTTGGATTTGTTGTAAATGTCTATTGCAAACTCTAGGGTAACCACGAAAAATACATGAAAGGAAGTACAACAGCTATGCTAAGAAAGGAGAGAAAATGGGGGCGCCTGGTGGCTCAGGTGGATACGCATCCAACTCGTGATTTTGGCTCAGGTCATGGTCTCAGAGCTCCATGATGGGCTCCGCACTGTGGAGTCTGCTTGGGATTCTCTCTGTCCCTCTCCCTCTGCTCCTCCCCCACACTCACACATGCTCTCTCTCTTTAAAAAAAAAAAAGGAGGGGCACCTGGGTGGCTCAGTTATTAAGCATCTGCCTTCGGCTCAGGTCATGATCCCAGGGTCCTGGGATCGAGCCCTGCATCGGGCTCCCTGCCTCACAGGAAGCCTGCTTCTCCCTCTCCCACTCCCCCTGCTTGTGTTCCCTCTCTTGCTGTATCTCTCTCTGTCAAATAAATAAA